ACACATTTTGTAACGTTTTTTGCGTTGGTACATTTATATGGTTTATGTTTTTGGATGTTGGGAAAAGAATAATCCTTTTTTTGGGCAAATAAGACTTTATTTTAACCCTTACGTAAAAGAAACGTGAACACAAGCATAAAGAAAACAGCTGGGAGCCGCAATTGCTTGATATGTCGGGAACATTGGTTTTGTTGGCGTATTTGAAGCCGTTTATGTGTGCATATGCGCAGGTCAGCCCAAGACGGGCTCTATTCTGAAAGCCTTTGAAACCCTGCTAACAGATAGCCAATAGTGTTGAACGTACAGCACAGCATGTTTGCATGTTGTGAGACGTTTTCGTTTGATTCAGCATGGCATCGTGACTGCAACATGTCCAAGTTGCACCACGAAAGTGTTTCAGATGTCATGGTTGAGATTTGCATGTTTGACAGTTTCATGTGAAACAACAGTTGCAACGTCAATCGTTGCAGGAAGAATTGAAATTGTTTGTTCTCGCACGTTTTGGGCATATGAACTTTTGCTGCATTCGTGACTTCAATTTCTTCTCAAGCAAGAAGGGCTTGAACAAAGACAAAAACAGCATAGGACACCTTTGGTTGTTGTGCTTGGTGTCTAGATCTCTGTGTGAGTTGCGTGAGTGCAAAAGGGTGACTTCGTCTTGAGCAGAGATTTTTATGACGGTCCTCAGGTGTTTTCGCTTGCTCCCGCCGGCCCCCGAGCGTAATTAAGATCCAGGGAAGCTACGCTAGGAGTTCCTTAGGTTTTGTTCTGCGCTAGTCGCTTGAGTGTAAGCGAAGCGTAGTTGTTTCTCCGCGTTTAGGTTGCTGTGTGTGCGCAGCTAGAGAGCGATACGTCAGGCAACAAGTTTGATGTGTACTTGTGTGTGCAGATTTCCGCATGGTAGCGGAGCGCTGTAAGTATTGTGCTCCAGGCCTAGCAGGTTTAGGAAGAGGGCAAGGTGAATTAGGACTTGGGAACAGATTGGAAAGCCACCATAGGTTTGCCTGTAGCAACACTGTGAGGATACACTGTAGGAAAGCACAACACGGCACGAGGTGCGCAGGTATCAGGAATAGGAAAGGTTTGTCCAAAGGGAAGCAACAAGAGCAACTGTGTAGAAGGAAAGGAGTTCGAAAGCCCACTTGAGCCACGGAAGTTCAAAGGATTAGTCAGGAAAGGTGATGGCATAAGGAAGGAGTGCTGGAGACTTAGTTTGGGAGTCTGCGCCTTAGTTTGCACGTCGGTTGGATCCTGAGAAAGCCAAAGGGAACACAGGAAACAGAGAGGCTGTGCATGCTTGGAATTAGTTTGGTGAATTGGTTACGGTTTAGAGAAGGTACAGTGGTCTGGACATGAGAGAGGTTTCTCTTGTGTGACCTGGAATAGGTACAGTGTCTGGAAGTAGGAGAGGTGTCTCCTATAGGGTCTGGAAACTTGTTTTGAGATGTCACTGACGAAACGATGGGAAACGTCCCAGTTGTCAGGCAAGAATGTTTCAGAAACTTGGTAGGAAACGGAATGGCTTCAAACAGTGAGTTGTGTTTCTGCTCACGGTCAGTCGTCATGTGAGTGAAATGAGTGCAGAACGTACGTCTGCATGCCTGCGAAGGGATGGTGAGTTTTGGACTTGAGTTTGAAGTCCTGATAGTCCCAGGTCCCAGTGGTAAGAATTTCGATTTGTCAGATACGCACTATAGTGGCTGAATGGATTTCACGCGAGTATCTGGTTGAAGGGATGCTATTTTCCTGGAGGATTTACAGACAACAGGCTGGATATGGGATGACCTGGAAAGCTTCCTGTGAGGGTTGTCTTCATTGTTGTGTTAAGTTTACTTCGGGCAACATAACTGGACGACCGGGGATCGAATGGTCATCATGTTTCTGGTTGCCTTTACCTTTTTGTGGACTTGGTTCATTTAATTTGTTGAGATATGATCTCTGGGGTTGTCACAGGATTCCATGATGTGCCTCAGGTGTGGACAAACGGGACTGCTGTAGAGATAGGATCTCTTGCTGTTCATGTGGGTTTGCATGAGGTTTATCGCATGTCATGTGGACACATGAGTTTCGATGTGGAGATATGAGTCTTTTGCTTGTCATGTGCGGTTACATGAAGGTTTTTGCCTGTCATGAGGATTCATGACAAGAATGCTAGCTGGCCACTAGCGGTTTGGCGTAATGGTTTGGTTACGCGATTAGCGTAACGGATTGGTTGCGCGGAGGGCCGCGGCGTTGGTGGTGTTCAGTGCTTCTTGAGCACCCACCCGCCTGCCCTGGATTTAAGTTGTCAGCGGCGTGGCTGATGGAGACGTTTGGCCGTGGTAGGCGGTTGCTGTTTCATGCTGCATGGATTTTGAGAATGATGGAAAGAAAAGTACGCGTGGTCTCGATTGTGGTTCAGCAGGGTTTTTGTTGGGAAGAATGAGCTGACGCAGGGCAGTTGAAGTTTTTTGGTCTGGTCTGTTATGGGGACTGAAATGGCATTAGGGATGTGAACCTCTTTCTGTACTACTATGTTTGAACTTTGGCAGGGTTGATAGGACCACAGTGCGGTAGGATCCCGTGAGCATCTTCCTGTATCGTTGTGTTTCGGTAGGATCCCCCAACATGTCTCAGCTCGATTCTCTGGTTTTATTGTGGCGTCGCCGTGAATATTGGGGAAGCTGCAAAACCGGATTTAGCGTGGCAGGCGTGGCACTTCGTGACATTCTCATGTGACTCATGTGTCTAAAAAATGCCGATGGTCGTTTTGTGTGACGGGCGCAGTACTTTGAATGAATGCAATGAAGCGGGCAGAGAATCTATCATGATCCACCTGGCAATGCCATGCCGCAGCGGCTCGGTACCGTACCGCATACCGAACCAATAAATATTAAGGGTATATCCAGCAAGATGCTGTACCAGGCAGCAATTACGCAAAGATGTCCTACAAGGAATCAAAATTAAGGTGCTGCATGCACACACAGCCCCCTCGACCTGTACTGTGCATGTCAACCTGGACGCAGGTGTCACCGCGGGGTTCAGTGTCACCGCGGGGTTCAGTACCTCAGCCTGTAAAGGATCCAGCTAGCATCGCTGTACCAGATCGTCCCCCCATAAAGAAATCAGAAGATGAGTTGCATTTTTCGTGGCAGGTACAGCACTTTGCATGGCAGGCGCAGTGCTTTAGAAGCATGGTGTTGCGTGTTTTGCAAATCAAATCCCGATGTCAGGGCTGCCTCACATGTTGACAACGTGCAATTTGCCTTGCACGCCTGGGACATCGTCAGAGTTTACTTTACACTTTTCATTCCACACTCCACACTCTACACTCGTCACTCTACACTTTACGCTCCACACTCTACACTCTACACTTTACACTTTAAACTTCACATTTTACACTCGGCACTACACACTCTACACTTTACACTTCACACTGTGCACTTTACACGCCCCTAAGACTTAAGACTTGACACTGCACACTCCACACTTTACACTTTACACTCTCCACACTCTACAGTTTACACTTTACACCCCACACTCTACACTTTGCACTCCACACTACTCTTTACGCTTTACACTCCACACTCTACACTTTACACTCCGCACTCTGCACTTAACACTTCAAACTCCACAATCCGCACTTGACACCCTACACACTACATTCTTCACTCAACATTCCACTCTCTTCACGACCCCATTCCACAGCACACTCTCGCTCCACACTCCACACTCTACACTTGACACTCTACACTTTACACCTCACACTTTACACTTGCCACCCCACACACTACATTCCACACCCCACACTCTACACACTACACTGTGCACTTTACACTTTGCACTTTCCACTTGACACTTCACACTCTACACTTTACACTTTACACTCCACACTCTACATTTCACATTCCACACTCTACACTTGACACTCCACACCCCACATTCCACACTTCACACCTCCACACCGTACACTACACTTTACCTACACTTTGCATTTTACACTTCACACTTGACACTTCACACTCTACACTTTACACTTTGCATTCCACACTCTATATTTCACAGTCCACACTCTACACTTTACACTTGACACCCGACACTACACTTTACACTCCACACTCTACGCTGTACACTCCACACTTGACACTTTGCATTTTACATTCCACACTCTATATTTCACAGTCCACACTCTACATTTTACACTTGACACCCGACACTACACTTTACACTCCACACTCTACGCTGTACACTCCACACTTGACACTTTGCATTTTACATTCCACACTCTACACTCTACATGTCACACTCCTCACTCTACACTTTACACTCTTGACTCTTCACACTCCACAATCCCCATTTCAAACCCTACACACTACATTCCCCGCTCAACATTCCACTGTCTTCACATTCTGCGTTCCACTCCATTCCGCACTCGACAGTCTACACTGGTATGGTAGCAGGGGAGGAACGCACAAGACTGTTGAACTAAATTGTTTCACGAAAATGTTTTATGTAACAACATGTCTGTGCGTTTCGACATCTTAACATACGTGTGAGCATTCGGATTTGTGGGCTGGATCTTCTTCGTGCCCATGTGATAGTTTTTTGCAACTATTTATCAATTATCAGTGTTTTGCTGGGAGTATGTTCAAGTCTCTCCCACAGAACGCTTGACGCTGGCAACACGTGAATAAACACATTGTTCCCAATTTGCCATGGCCACCCACACCATTTCACAATTTTTAATTTTCGGGCACCCACATGCATATTTCAGCCAGCTAGCTTTCGTACTTTTCCCCCTGGCCTCAAGTCTGTTCCCAGCATACATTGTTTGTGCCATTTTCTTGCAAACATATGCGCCGTTGACCTGAACGTTTTCCGTAAACACAAATCCGGGTGAAATGTATTTTGAATTTGGGCCGGCGGCTCAACACATTTCCCTGCTGCCAATTGGGCCCACAGCTCTAACATTTCCAATGCCATGAACCATCGGGTTTTTGGTTGCATGGTTCGAACTCGTCCACAAGAGTCAGAACAATTGGCAGCAACTCTGGTTCCATTTCTTCTTGAAGACCTTTCCACCAGTTGAAAGGTGTGAATGCAATGGCGGCTGACCTCTCCATTGAGGCTGGGCACAAAATTCCAGCAATACAAACGATTTTACCATGGATGATCCCCGAAGTGTTGTCGCACTTGATCCCCAAAGTGCATCACAAACATTGTCCAGAACCGTCATTGGTCACCACATTTCCCCTTAGTAATTTCACCATGTTTTCTTCCCTGTACCTTTCTTGTGGACATATACTTTCCCTTCCAACGACATGCACACAAAAACGAAAACACAAGTGTGCATTGAGGGGGAAACACACGGAATCAGGGTGAAGTAACAAATTTGATGGATTTGTCTCCAACGCACCGCACACCAGGAACGATACATCCAGCATCAGCGTGGCCTTTTCGTTTCAAAACATGTGTCTGCGGCCTACGTCCATGTCTCAGTGAAACAAAACCGCAGAGAAACATCACGACACGAAAATCGGATATTGATGGGGATATAATGGGATATTGATTATGTACATATTTATATGTATATTGTTTTTGAACATTGAAAATACGGTACCCCCAAATCCGTGTGTTAAGCACCATTTTACCTAAATGGTCATTTTGGGGGTGGGCCCCATTTCCAAAAGGTCGACACATGCTGTTTAAAACACCGCCCTCTCCATTCCAGGTGCCAGCGGTGATGAGTGCCGCAGTGCCAAGGGGTCCTTACCAGGCGGCACCGACAGCTCCCTCTGCCACGACTGGGCATGGTATGATACGGACTGTTGCCGATGACTCAAATTGGAACCTCTCGATTTGCGTGTTGTTTGTTTTCAAATTTTCTGCCCGGATTTGCGCGGTCGTTTTCTTAAACATATACAGTATTATAAAGATCAGGCCTTACTTTTTGTGTTGTTGTCAAATAAGTTGGTAGATACCCCCTTCAGTAAAGACTAGAATGGTGTATCAGCACCTACAACCAATTGCCATTGGAGTCAAAACGGTTTTTCTCCATACTCTTGCTAGATGTACATACGAATGGACACATTTCTCACCTTTGGCAACCGTGCACATCAACAATACCACAAAACTCACAAAACATACTTAAAAACCAACAATTTTTCAACTCAGAGTCGTTTGATCCTTCTGCCAAAGGGAGTCAGTCCGACCAACTCTCATCGTGCGTGCCTAAATAGAAAGGTTCGTGCTCCAGAACGACCAGACCAAAGTTTGCATGTGGTGGTGCAGAGCCTTCAAAAGCAGGCGTGGTGACGTGGTGCCAGCAATTTGAAGGATTTGCAAGGTAGGAAATCTAGCAGTTCCGCCAGTTTTGGATTTTCATGTATTTACTTACATACATATCTTAATGGAGGGTTGTTTTTTTTTCCGTTTTGTTTGCTCATTGATTTCTGGTTCCCAGCTTCTCTGCTTTTCCCTGCTTCTTTGCTTCTCCGCTTTTCTACTTTTCCCTGCTTGCCTGCTTCTCTGCGTTTTCCTGCTTTTCTGCTTCTTTGCTTCTTTGCTTTTCTTCTTTCCTGGTTCTTTGCCTCTCTGCTTCTCCGCTTTTCTGCTTTTCACATATTTTTTCTGCTTTTCCAGCTTCTCCGCTTCTCTGCTTTCTGCTTTTAAATGCTTCTTTGTTTACCTGCTTTTATTATGTTTCTCTGCTTTTCTGCTTTTCTGCTTCTCTGCTTGTTCCTGTTTTGTTTGTTTCTCATACTGTAGATGAACCCTAAGAAACATAATATAAATAAACCCTAAATCAACCCAAAATAAACCCCAAACCAACCAAAAAACACTAAAACAACTCTAAGTGCACACTAAACATGCCCTAAATAAATCTGAAACTAATCCCAAATAAACCCTAAACCAACCCTAAATAGATCCTAAACCAACCCTAAATAGATCCTAAACCCCCAACCCCAAATGTGTTAAACCAAACCTAAATAAACCTTACACTAACCCTAAATAGAGCTTAAGCAGGCCCAAAACAAACCCAAACCAGCAATAAACAAACCTTAAACCAACCCTGAATAGGTCCTACAACAACTCTAGATATATCCTAAACCAAGCCTAAATAAACACTGAAAACAAACCCTAAATAGATCCTAAACCAGCCCCAAATAGATGTTAACCCAGGCATGAATAAACTTCAAACCAATACCAAATAGATCTTAAATCACGCCTAAATAGAACCTAAGCCAACCCGCAACAAACCTTAAACCAATCCCACATAGGTCCTAAACCAACCCTAAATAGATCTTAAACTAAGCCTAAATAAACCCCAAAACCAGCCTTAAAAAGATCCCAAACCAACCCTGAAAAAAAAAACAACAACCCCAACTCTAAAACCAACCCTTAAAAAACCTAAAACCAAACCTAACAATGACAAAAGCCCTAAACCAACCCTAAATGAAACTTGTTGCAAACTACCATGTTACATGAACAGTTCGAGCACCAAAATGTTGCAAATTCTATGGAAAATTAGAGGTTCGAACTCAAAAAAGCTGCAAATACTGTTGAAATGGCAGCTTCCAGCTCCAAAATGCTGCAAATAGCAAGGAAAATGGACAGAACAGGAAATCCCCCCCCCAAAAAAAAAACGGAAGAAAACTCCCAACTATCTTAATTGATTGATTAATTGATTGATTGATTGATTGATCGATTCATTGATCTATTCATCTATTTATTTACTGATTTGTTTGTTTATTTATTTATTGATACATTTATGTATCGGTACAGTACGGTATGGTATGGTACGGTATGGTATGTAATGCAAGGTAATGTAATGTAGTGTAACGTCATGTACGTAATGTATTACTACCGTAATGTGCTGTGTTGTTTTTTGTAATGTAAGCTATATGTAGATGGCTTGTGGGACCCAATCGGACCGGTCCCAGGTCAATGAACTGCAGACATTGGTCCGTTCGCTACAACATCAGGTGCCCGCTGACCAGGTCGGTAGTCGGCAGCCAGGTCAATAGTGTAGCAGTTTACTGGTCATTTCCACTAGATCAACTGGGTTCAGTAGATGAAGTCACTATAAACTGAAAATTATCTCCTCAACTATAACTATAATTTATAGATCAGTGGAATTTATTGTTGTTAGATGACTATAGTATACTATACTATATACTATGATTTATAACTATAGTAAGTATAACTTTTTTTTTTTTAAATAGATCATCTCCACTGATCTCAGGCGCCGAGCGAGATGCCCACGGAGGCACCTTTGAAACTCTGGGGAAGGAATCCGTCCCCAAAAAATCCTAATCTCTATGTTATATATATATATATGTTATATATATATGTTATATATATATGTTATATATATATATATGTTATATATATATATATGTTATATATATATATGTTATATATATATGTTATATATATATATGTTAATATGTTAGTTATATATATATATATATAAATGGTCTCGCATTATAGACCCCATCAGATCCCCATCTCCGCCCTGACCTTCAGCCGCTGGCGAAAACAACATCGCCACCGTTGGCAACGGTGGCACGGACGCCTTCCGAGGAGGCGATGGGTCAACGGGATGGGTCAACCAGCTGCCTGTTTTTATGGATATATGATATATATATGATGTTTGTATATACTGTTAATATGGATAATGACATGATGTTTAACTATGGATATATGTATATAATTGTATATAATCATGAATGATCCTGAAGTAGATAGACTATTTCGGCATTGTTCGAAGACCTTGCCGTTTTGCCATGACGATTTGGACATTTACATATTCTACCTGTGTCAAGATGACATATACATGTATACCTATGGTGGGGGTGATACTGAAAATAATATGTGGGTAAAAAAACACTTTTAAACAAGAGTACCCTCTCCATCCAAGGATGAAGTTGTGTATTGTTGATGGTTTTAGGTCACCACATCGCTGACTTTTTTTTTTCGTTTCAATGTGCCTTTCACTGTCACTTGATTATTCTACTTCGTTTTTCAAAGGTTTGCTGGTTTATTCCCGACAGCACTGACTCTTGAGTTTCAATCTCTGGGTGGTGCGTCGTTTTCCATCCTTTTCTTCCAGAACCTGAAGCCTGTGCTTCCCAAAATTCCTATGGGGCCAGCTTACAGTGCGACTTCACTTTAGGAAATAAATACCATGGCTAACTGAAACAGTCTTGTATTGGTACTATGGCTACTCTTTTCATTGCTCTGCTTATTATTTAATAATCATAGTGCTAATAGTAATTATCACTATGGTCATCACGACCGTCATCCGTTTTGCTGTTGACACTAGATCATTACTTGGTGACTCACTCTACTTATAGTGAGTGGGTTACAACCCCAGTTTATTCAGTAGGTTAAGTAGGGGCAATGTCCAGTTAATTCACTGGAATGAACTAACCATCAGATCTGATTCTTGATAGGAGCCACCAAGTAGATTCCATCAATATCCCATTCTTTCCAGTTATATTCCTACTATATCCCTAGTTAAACCCAAATGATATCCTTTATTTTTTGGCACCATATCCCACTTTTTGTTGCCAAATCCCCATTACTTGGTGGCTCACTCCACTTACGATTCGTATAGGTTACATCAATCCCTGATAGGTGGGATAAGTAGGGCTAAATCCACTTACACTCGGGGTTAGAATCTTAGAACTAACATGAACTAACCGACTAAGTGGGATGAACCACCATTGGTAAATATCCATTAATCACCATTAATCATGGATTAATCACCATTAAATCACCATTTTCCGACTCCAGGAACTGCTCCGACGTCATCGGGAGCGCCGGGCACCTCGGGCACCTCGGGCACCCGAGTCGAAGCCCCGGGAAGAGCTGCGGAAGGTGCCGTGGTTCTCCGACAAAATGGAGGTTGAAGCAACAAACATGGCGGTTTCATATGGTTTAACCATGGTTTAACCATGGTTTAACCATGGTTTAACCATTCAGAAATAGGAATGTATATATATATAGTTTATAATCGAAGGAAGTTTAGAAGTCAAACTTCCGACAACAGGGACAGATGAAAAGCAGAGGTGGGAAGAGTCAGAGAAGAGAAGAGAAGAAGAAAGAAGATCAGAGAAGAGAAAGAGTCAGAAGAAAGAAGATGCAGGTGCGCGAAAAGGTAGAAAAGTCGCGAAACACTGTGTTTTTCCAATGTTTTGTGGCTCCTGAGGGTCGAAAAGTAGGGTCGCTAAAGCGGCGGGTGCGGAGCCATTTGGGCAGATGAGAGATGAAAAATTGCACGCTGTTGTGGCCAGAAGCACACATTGTCAGAGCAATTTTGGAAGTTGAGATGTTAAAAACGTGCACTTCGTTGTGGCGCAAAGCACATTCAGAAGTCAAAAGTGCAAAAAACTGGCAGTCTGGGAGCACTTTTTGAGGGCACGATGTGGAAAAAGTGTGCCGTTGCGGCGCAAAGCATTTGTCGAAGTCAAAATGCACAAAATGCCTCAATGTCGGAGCGCTTTTGGAAGTTGAGATGTCGAAAAAGTGCATGCCGTTGTGGCGCGAGGCACATTCCCAAGTCAAAATGTACAAAGCACACCAGCTCAGGACCACTTTTTGAAGTTGAGGCGTCGAAAAAGCGTACGCCGTTGTGGCGCGAAGCACGTGTCGAAGTCAAAATGTGAAAAGCACACACCATGTTCGGGCCACTTTTGGACGTTGAACTGCGCCACACTACATGACAACTACTACAACAACAGCAGCAACAACAACACCGACGACGACTACGACTCCGACTACGACTACGACTACTACAGCTACAACTACAGCTAAAACTACTACAGCTACAACTACAACTACAACATTACAACTACGGCTAAAACAACATCAGCTTCAGCTAGAACTAAACTACAACATGAAGTAGAACTACAACTACATTACACTACACTACACTACACTACACTACACCACACCACATGCAGCAGCAGTTGTGGTTGAGGCGACCACTGCAACCACTCCAAAAACCACAAGGCCAACTAGCTTTCTGTCCATCAGCGGATTCGCTCTGCCATCCATGCGTCACAACAACTCACCTCTCCTATAGCTTCCTATCTTTGAGACTTCCGCTACCGCCTAAATATATTGCCAATATATTATACAACCATTTGAATTTACCACCATATTGCCCCCCAAAATGAAGAGATCCAATATTGAACAGGGGTTTCTAAGAGGGTATTTGATAGTGCTATGAAACATTCAGAACATCGGATAAAATCTGAACTGGTCACTACCAAAAAAAATGTGGGGAATTTTTCGATTTTCCTTCAACAAATAGTTCGACCGTGTCCAAGGGTGGAACACTAAGTGAAGAACATTTTTCTTTTTCACATTCAAACCAGATGACACTTTGACAGATGCCCACGCAAACTTTGGTGGAAAACAGCAGTCCAAGATTTTGCGTTTTCAGGAACAATGATAAAGTCAGGAGACTTGGGTACCAGTTGGAGCAATACCTGTGAAACGTCCGTGAAACGTTTGGCTTCACAGCGGACTGACCTGTGGGGCTGTGTGGGGCTGCGCGAGCCCTTCGCCAGGCAGATGTACTTGTTGATTTTTGTTGATTACAGGTGATTTTCGGATATTTTTCTATGATGTTCTCTAAGAAAAAACCTCCATTTTTCATGACATTCCATGATTTTACCCCACCGATATCTTGGGGTCGATTTTTCCAACTGAGCGAACAGGTCCAGGTCATGGAAGGCCCACATTTTGAGCCACCTCGCAAACGAGGCACATCCGAGTTCGAGATGAAACTGTGATGACATGTTTTTTTTTGGAAGGTATTCCCGGTATTCCTATTCTCCTCATGTACTTTTTAGAAGGGATGATTTACCAGATGAGTTCGTTGGCTGTGCAAGTTCGTGTGTAAGACTGCCCAAATTTTTGAGGATTGATTGGATCCAAGGGTTTGGAATCAGGTCTGCTTAAGAGATTTAAGAGGAAGTTATGGTCCTGGGCCTCCTGGGCCAGTCGAATCAATTGGACTTGATGGGACAGATACCATGAGGCAACTGGTTACTTTTTTCGCGTATTCAAAGCCACAGATCCGGGACTGTGGTACCAAATGGATCCAAATGGTCTAGGGATGTCCAGGTGCTCGGTGTAGCAATGGACGAACGAACCCCCCACCAGGTGACTTTCTTCTGGCTCGACCTCGGTTTCTTGGCGCTAACTCGACAAGGCTGCACATGGAAGTTTGGGAAACCTGGAGATTTGATTACAATTTATTGCAATTGATTGTGATTGATGATATACTCAGATATTATAGAATGGTTTTTAATACGTATATATGTACAGTACATGTATATATATATACACATATATATATATATATATATGTGGCAGGGACCTTTGGGGTCTATTTCGTTCCTATGCATACAAGCATGTAATGCTATTGTTTTTCTTCTCCTTTGGTCGTCTAACTTGTTCATTTCTTTTGTGTCCACTAGAGTAGACTAAACTAGACTAAAACTAGACTACTGGACTAAACTAAACTAAACTGGATTAAACTAGACTCTACTAGACTCAACTTGACTAAACCAAGCTAAATTACACTAAAGTAGACTACAGTAGACTAAAGTAGCCTAAAGTAGATTGAAGTAGGCTAAAGCGGGCTAAACTACACTAAAATAGGCTAAAGTAGACTACCGTAGGCTAAAGTAGACTAAAGTAGACCAACGTAGACAAAGATTGGCTAAACTAGACTGAAACTGAGGAAACTGGATTAAGCTGGACTGAGCTTGTTTTTGGTTAAACTAGACTAGCTATATAATTAATGTTATATCTAAATGTTGATGCTTATGAAAATCAAACACTACGTGACACTAAATTAGGGTAAACTAGATTAAGCTAAGCTAAACTAGGCTAAATTAGGCTCAACTAGACAAAACTTGACTAAATGAAATTAGACTACACATCATGACGAAACTAGATTAAAACATAGTAGATTGCACAAAATTTGGCCAAAGTGGAGTAAAGAGAACTAAAGTACATTAAACTCAGTCAAACTAGATTCAATTAGATTATATAAACTGGACCAAATTGGATTAAACTGTGCTAAAATGGATTAAATTATAGTAACAAACTAGACTCAACTACACGAAAGTAGACTCAAAAAAGACTAAAGTGGACTAAACTTAACTAAACTAGTTGAGTCTAATTTGGCCTACTTTACTCTCATATAGTTTAGTTCAATTTAATCTAGGATGGTCTGGTTTAGTCTACTTTATTTAGCCTTTTTTAATATACCTTGTCTAATTCAGTCTAGTTTAGTGTTGCTTAGTCTTATTTAGTTCAAGTTGGCGTGGGTAAATTCTGTTTAGTCTGGTCTAGCCAAGCTTAGCCTAGTTTAGTCCAGCTTTGCCCAGTTCAGTCTGGTCTAGTCTAATTTCGTTTAGTCTAGTTTAGCCGAAGTTAGGTTAGTCCAGTTGAGCATAGTTTAGTCTAAACTAGACTACGTTAGTCTGCTTTAGTGTAGTTTAGCCTAGTTGATTCTAGTTTGGGTTAGTTTTGTTTTATTTAATTCAGCTTAGTTGAACTTAGTCCAGGTGTAGATTTAGATGCAGGTGGTTTTGCTTAGTCTAGTTTAATCTGGTTTAGTCTAGTTTAGTCCATTTTAATCTAATCTAATCTAGTTTGGTCTAGTTTAGTCTAGTTTGGTCCAATTTAATCTACTTTAGTCTACTTTAGCGCATTGTTTACTCTAGTCTATCTAGTTTACATAATAGAATTTAATCTGGTCTAGCTTAGTCGATTTTAGTCTGGTTTAGTCTTGCTTAGTCTAATTTAATTTAGTTTAGTGTAGTTTTAGCCCAGTTGAATTTGTTTTGCCTAATTGAATCTAGTTTAACCTAGTTTAATCTAATTTACTCTAATATAATCCAATTATTATCTAACTTAATCTTTGTTATCCTAAATGTATAATCTAAGTTCGTCCAAAATCAATCCAACTTAGTTCAGCTGAACCGAACTTAGTCAAGTTTAGCTTGATTTCATCTAATCTAAATCTAATAGAATGTAGTTTAGTTTAATTTAATCTACCTTAGTCCAGCTTTATCGAATTCAGTGTAGTTTAGTCTCGTTTAGCCCAGCTTAGCCTAGTTTTGTCTAGTTTAATGTAATTTTATTCAAATTTAATCTAATTTAATCTTGTTTTGTCTAGTTTAGTTAAACTTAATCTACTTTAGACTAGTTTAGTCCAATTTTTCCATTTTAGTTTACTGTACGTAGTTTTCTTCGATCTAGTTTAGCTTAACTTAGTCTATTTTAGTCTACTTGAATCTACTTTAGTCTACTTCAGAATATTTCAGTTTAGTTCAATCGTGTTTAGTTTAGCTTGATCTAGTTTCATTTATTTCACTCTAATTTAGTTTAATCTAGCTTAGTGTAGTTAAGTCTAGCTTAGTCTAATTTAGTCTAGTTTAAGGTAATTTCACCTAGTTTAGCCTAGTTTAATAATCTAATTTAGCCTAGTTCAATCTAGTTTTATCGAAAATTGTTGTGTTTAGTCTACTTTGGTGTAGCTTAGTGTAGTTTTGTCTAGTTTTAGTCTAGCTTAATCCAATTTAGTCTAGCTTTATCCAGTTTAGTCTAATTTAGCCTACTTTCTTCTACTTCAGTCTCCTTCAGTCTTTCTTAATCTATTTTAGTATACTTTACTGTAGTTTAGTCTAGTTTAGTCTTGTCTTGCAATCTAGTTTAGTATTAGTTTAGTTTATTTCAGTCTAGTCTAGCTTAGTTTAAACCAATCTACTTGGAACTATACTAGGCTAGTTTAATCTATTTTCATGTGCTTTCATCTTGTTTAGTCTACTTTAGTCTTGTGTGATTTACTTTAGC